GACGTTTTTGGTTGCTGGTTGTGTTGTTTGGTTCTCTTGGGCGCGATGATTATTTGACAGCAGTTCGTTTCGTGCCGTGGGCTTCTGTTGCGTCCTGTCGTGTGCCTGCCGCCGTCCTTTCCCACCATATCGCTGCCATCATGTATTTCGGGGCAACGGCGACGACGCTTTCCATTTGATACACGGCGCAAAGAAGAACTGGGGAATCCATCGAAAACACCAAGAAAAACGAGCAGCGCTAGTCCCATTTACCAACCACCGTGCACGAGCCCGTGCAGTCGAGTGCGTTGACCGACCGACCCGACAACACGGGCGCGCACAGCAGCCAACCAACCAGTCCCACCACCGACCGACGGACACGGACGCGTCGCCGACCCAGCCCGCCATGGGCCCAACGCACGACGCCGCGCCACCCTTGCACAACTAATTGGCCGCGCCGTTCGGCGCCTTGGCGGGCGTACTTGCCCCTGTCCCTGCGGCCTGCTGTTGCGCCAACTGCGTCATCTGCTCGACGTGCCGGACAAAATGCGGGAACGAGGACAACCGCATCAACTCGAAGATCTTATCCTCGATCGGCGTGAGCAACTCGGGCGCGTAGTTGCCCTTGCTCTGCACCTCGTCCAAGAACCGCTTGCGCACAATGTTCGGGCAATTGATTTCCTGCGGCGCGCCGGGCACGACAAACCGCTGCACGACGGCGAGCATCGCCTGCTTCATGACGTCGCTGTGCGTTGCCATGGTCCACGCGTTCGAGGTGGCTTCGGCGCGGTAGGCGGACGCGGCTTTCAGGAAGTCGAGGTTTTCCTCGGAGTGCTCGCGCGTGCGCAGAAAGTCTTCAAAGTCGGCGAGCGAGTACGGAGAACTGGTTTCGTTGGCGAGAATCGAGGCCAAGTTCAGCTTGCGGTCGGCGGACGTCTTGCCGGCGAGGGCGAGCGCGTGGTTCGGCGAGGGCGATGCGGCGGCGGACATGGCTGATGGTTGGAGGGGGGGGGGGGGGGGGGGAGGGCGGGCAAGGAGGAAAACCCCGGGGCTCGAGTTGCGGGAGAGCCACGCCTGTCGGTCGGGTCCTCCACGGGCGACGCGCGCGCGTGCTCGTCTGCGGAGCGCGGATCACGGATCAAATGACCGCATCGCGTCCGTCCGTGGCAGGGGACCGACGCGGTCGGCGGCGGTAGCGCGTGAGGCATCAACGCACCTGCGGGGTGAACGGAGCGGGATGCGGGAAGTGGACGAGCGGCAGCAGCGGTGACGGCGGCGGCAGGGAGCGCGCGCGGAGATGGTGCGGAAGGAGCAGGAGAGGGCAGTTGACGGAGCGCCGTTGACGACGTGTATGCGAGCCCTGAGCGGGATAGGGGTGCGTCGAGGTCGAGGTGGATGAGAGAGAGCGCGGGGGGGGGGGGGGGGGGGGGAACCGCCCCAAAAAAAGGGATAAGGACGAACACCCCCCCAAAGGGGGGTGTTTCCGGTTGGTCGGGGGAAGGGGAA